TGCTCCAAGGAATCCAAATATAACTTAGACATAGCTAAGGTCCAACTTTCCCTAAATGTTTGTAATAGCATCAACAATTCCCACATAAGAACTCAGGGTAATAACTTCACATTAAGCCTTTATCTCACTCCAAGTGAAATCTCTCCCTTCCACAAAGTTCTAAATAGTCAGAGAGATAGAGAACAGATAGAGGAATGACATATAGAGATGATGAGAAAGATGATAGATCGATAGACAAAGGGACAGAGACATGACAGATAAATAGATAATAGATAGATGAGAGACGGAAAGAGAGAGACAGAGCGAGAGAGAGAGACAGAGCGAGAGAGAGAGACAGAGAGAGAGAGAGAGAGAGAGAGAGAGAGAGAGAGAGAGAGAGAGAGAGAGAGAGAGAGAGAGACTTGAACTGCCACTTTGTGGGTTAGGCTTTTCTTTGAACCTTCTAGACAGCAATCCCCTTTCCCCGTGGACTTGCATTGCCTGTAATAGAGGGATGGCAAGGTCCTTTTCTCTTGCTTCCCCAAATCATGAGCCCCCCTCATTGATCCTCCAGCCACAGAAGCCACATGGGTAAATCGATTCTTCTCTTTCCCAGGCGCAAAGTTACCTAGAAGTTATCCTCCCCTCTCTAAAAGACCAGTACTTTGAATACTTGAACTTAGGCTCATCCATGAGGCAACACTCATGGCTGGTGGGGGCAACAAATCTTCCCTTTGTGGGCAGAAGACTAGATTCTGGGACAACGATGCCTAGAAGATTTGAAATCTCTCCTCTTCTACACAGGAGATTGGGTTGTTCAGGAAACAACTAGCTCTTTATAGCGTTTTCTGTGGGTAAAGTTGGGGGAAGCCATCGATTGGGGAATGGCTGAACAAATTGTGCTATGTGATTACAAAGGAATACTATTTTACTATGAGAAATGATGAGCAGGATGTTCTCAGGAAAACCTGGAAAGCCTTAGATGATCTGATACTAAGTAAATGTACTGTGTACAAAGTAACAGCGATATTGTGGGATGATCAACTATGAAGGACTTGGCTATTCTCAGCAATACAACCATCCAAGACAACTCTAAAGGATTTAATGATGAAACATGCTATCCATCTCCAGAGAAAGAACTGATGGTATCTGAATACAGATTGAAGCATGCTTTTTTTACTTTCTTTATTTTCCTTGAGTTTTTGTTGTTGTCATTGTTTGTTTTCTTTCACAACAGGACTATTAGGGATATGTTTTACAGGACTATACACGTAGTGTGTAGTCCTAGATCAAATCGCCTGCCTTCTTAATGAAGGTGGGGGGAGGGGTGGGGAGGAAGGAAGGAAGGGAGAGAATTTGGAACTCAACATTTTGAAACAAGTGCTAAAAATTGTTTTTACATGTAACTGGGGGAAAATAGAAGCTAAAAAAACAGAACGACCTAGCTCCCTTCTCAGGCCAAGTGGGCAGGTACACACTGCATCCACCATGTGTTCCTGTAGGGACTCTCCCAGAGCCCCAAGCACCACCATCTCTTAGGTGGGGAAATCCATTCTTAGGCACTTTCCTCTTTGGCTACATTGAGCACATGTTGATTCCAGCCATGTGATGGTACTGAAAGTCCCCATCAATGCTCCTAGTGGGGTAGGGAAAAAAAGAGAAATCCCTTCTCCTATGCCATATACTAAGAAAAAAGCAAAAAGGGACAAGAGTAGTCTGTCTTCCTATCACTCTTACTTACAGGCCAGTACAAAGGACTTAGAATAAGACCATCCTCATAAGTCCCAGCTGGTCGACTGTCCTGGGAGCAGCCCCACTCATTGGGAACCAATCAGGAGGCAGAACTTGTCCTTTCCAGGTGCCAGTGCACCTCTGTGGGGAGAGATAAGCTCAACAGGATGGAATCCTGCCTTATCAACACTTCTTGTTCTGATTAGAATGAGAAGCATCAGCTTTGGGCACAAGACAGTAAAGTCCTGAGAGTTTACAAATGTAGATTGGACTCTTACTGGGGCATGAGACCCCTGCTCTTCAGCACTGGACAGGGGCTGCCCGAGCTCTAGAGCCCCTTCTTTGATGGACATACCCCTATTCCCTACCTGCTGCACTTCATTCTCCTTGCTAAAGTCTTCCCAGTAGGTGGTCAGCAGGAAGGCACCATAGGCCCCTTTTAATGCTCCCTTCACAGCCTCTTGGTCATTCAGGTCACACTTCACCACTTCAGCTCCCAGGTCTCGAAGGGCCAGGGCAGCAGGTCTGGTCACATCCCGAGTCAACGCTCTTACGGAAAAGTCTTTGTCCTCCAAAATGGCTCTAGCAACAGAACCACCCTGAGAACCTGGTGAGGAAGAAAATCAATTTAAAAGTGAACAAATGTCTTGAGAAATGAAGGAATGAATAAACATGCATACATATGTGTGTGTGATTGTATATATACAGGTTGTGTGTGTGTGTGTGTGTGTGTGTGTGTGTGTGTGTGTGTATGAGGAATCAGAAAGGGAGGCTCTCAGAACACTTGGCTTAGGGTCAGAAATCCTGGGATTGGTGTGTTTGTACCAATAATTGTTACTTGTGTTAAATTATTCCACTTTTCTGATCCTCTGTTTCCTTATCCATAAAATGGAGCCAATAATACAAACACTACTAAGGGGATGGATTGGAGCATTAGATCCCAACTCTTCCTACCCTGGCCCCGACTTATATAAAAAGGATAGAACAAATCTGTCTTGGACTCCTCCTTTTGGGGGCCCCATCCTTCCTCTGGGACGTCCCACCTCCCCACTCTGCTCCAGCCCTCCTATGGGGAGTAGCAGCCAGGGGCATGGGGAAGAGGCTCAAATGAAATCTTCATGTAAAGCACTTTACAAATGCTAGTTATTTTTCTGCTTATTAGCTGCAGCAGCAGCAGCAGTAGCCTACATTTCCCAGTCTGGTAATGCCTTCATTCCCTGGGCCTTCTATTCCCCTCCTGCTAAGCTCCAGCAATATTTATGGAGCCCTATCAGAGTGTGTTGGGAAATGTTTAACAACCAGGCTGGGTGGGGTGGGGTGGGGTGGGGAGTGTATACACCCCTCATTTTAACCTTTTAATCTGACTTGTTAGCATCTTTTCCACCACTTTCTTAAGTCTAAAACAATAACAAAATAATAAATCGAACCCTGATTTATAGCAGGCACTCATTTCTGACCCATGATCATTGACCCTGAAAATTTCACAATCTCTTCTGCTGCAGGATGAAGCTCATTGTACCACCAGATCCTGCTCAGATGCTCAGCCACAAGGTGTTAGTTCATGAGGTAGCACACCTGGGAATTGGGAGGGCAGGGTGCATATTTAAATTGCAGACTCAAAAAATAACAGCTTGAAGACCCAGTGGAATCAAAAGAGCTGTGAGCTCTTGATGCTCTAATTTGGTGAAAGGGCCCCTTCCAGCCTTCTTTTTTCTCCAGCTGTTCTGGAACTGCTAGCTGGCACCCTGGACACTCTGCTCCCCTATCTAAAGTCCAAGAGCTTTGCCAGCTGGGTCAGAAGCTTCTTGCCATCTTCCAGGACCCACATAAACAGCAATGTTTGGCTCTTAGTGATCACCATTTCCTTTGCCAAAAACACGCACACCATGCCTTTAAAACCAGGTTTAAGAATTTTACCAAGAGAAAAAGTCAAGTCCACTGTCCTATCATTTGTGGAATCCCTCCAGCTGGACCTGCAGTCAGGAAGACCCAAGTCTGAACTGGCCTCAGATACTTACTAGCTAAGTGATCCTGGGCAAGTCACTTTGCCTCTCTTTGCCTCAGTTTCCCCAACTGTAAAATAACCTGTAAGTTCCCTTTCTACTCTAAATCTGTCATCAGTCTCTTGAGGAAGGTACTACCCTTGTCATTTCTATGTTACACATGAGGAAACTGAGGCTTGGAGAGATTGTGACTTTCCCAATACATTATTAATGTCTGAGGTGGGATTTAAACTCAGATCTTTCTGTCTCTAAATCCAACACTCTGTGCACTACTCCATACTGCTTCTTGTCAGAAGAATACATTTCCTAGCTCTTCCCATTCACCCCAAACCCCCACATAGGCATTTTGTTATTCTTCTTCCAACTAAGAAAATGAAGGGAAGAAGAGAATTGAAGACACAGCCTACCTTGGTAAATAAAGCACAGGTTTACACAAGCCAAGGCATGACCCAAAAAAGCAAAATAACTAAGAGAGAAAAATATAATAGGGAACTCTTTCTGAGAACATTTCCTAAAATCAAATCAAATTAAATCCTCCTTCTTGCTGCCAACACAAGAAATTCAAGTGGATTCTTTTGTTAAAGATTCCTAGAAGAATCACAGCTTGAAAACTGAAAGGGAACTGAGAGATCAATGAGTCCATCCCCCCTCATTTGATAGATGAGGAAACTGAGGTCCAACTCTTAAAACACTTGCCCAAGGTTGAACAGGGACATCAAGTCCAACCACCTCCCATTTTACAAGTGAAGTAAGTGAGGTGCAGAGGTAAAGAGGTTTGCCCAATGTCATACAGGTAGTAAGTAGCAGAGGAAAGATTTGAACCCAGGTCCTGTGCCTGCTATGCCTCATCTGCCTCTGTTCTTTACACAAGCCATGCTCCTACAGTCATCCGATGATAGATAGCCTAAGCCTGCCCCCACAGAAGCATGAATAAAATCTTCAGACAACCTTCCCCCCAATGGAAAAAGGAAGTTCTTTTTACCTGTTGCCCCAAACACAGCGATGACTTTCTTGCTTGCCATGTTGCTGAGCCTAGAATCAGTGGAAGGACAGGCTGTGAGAAGGTCTGCCCCTGTCCAGCTTCAGCACCAGACTGGAGAGTCCTGCCTTTCACTATCAGGCCTCAGATTGCTCTGCCCTATCCTACCTTGTTCTCAAACAGAGCAGAAGAAGAGAGATTAGGTGAATTCTCTGACTCACCATGATACTGCAGTTTTCTCCAGTAATTGATAGTGGAAAGAAGGCTGGACCTAGTGTCAGGAGAGACCTGGGTTTGAATCCTAGCACTGACACTTCACTGTGTGACCCTGGGCCAGTCAATCAACCTAGGTGAGCTTCAGTTTCCTCACCTATAAGAATGAGCAAGCATACTTGTAGATATAACTAAGGCAAGATGGTCAGGGCTTTTCACTAAGGCTCCCAAATCCAGGAAGCACAGAAAGTACTATACTCTTTGAAGTGAGTAGAAACAACTGAGCATAGCACCTAGTTGGCAAACATTGGTTAAAATGGGAAATTATCTAGTGCTAGTGTAGAGGTGGTGAAGTGAAAGAATGCATGGCCTGGAGTCAGGAAGACCTGAATTCAAATGCTGCCTCAGGCACTTTACCAGCTATATGACCCTGGGCAAGTCACTTAACCCTGCTTGCCTCAGTTTCGTCATCTGTAAAATGAGCTGGAAAAGGAAATGGCAAGCCATCCAGTACCTTTGCCAAGAAAACCCCAAATGGGGTCATGAAGAGTCAGATGAGACTGGACCAACTGAACAACAGCACAACTCTGAGAATTCAAGCAGAATGGGTGATTTTGGCAGCGTGGGACACTCTTGGTATGAGTCCTTCTTCCATCAGGGCAGGGTCATTGCAACCCTTAAGGACTGCCTTGAGGACCAGAGAAGTTGGCCAAGGTCCCACAGTTAGTCTGAGGCTGGAGGAGGTAGAAGGACTTACTGACTCCACCCTCAAGCACCAGATGCAGGATGATCCTACAGTGTCTAGATGGCTTAATGCCAATGTCTCTAACTTGCCCAATCCTTTTCACATAACCCTGGCATCTCCACTCGGTTTGTTGGCCTCCGTCTTGTCCAGCCTGCTTCTTGATTCCATATTCCTGGTTTCTCTTTCTTTGGCTGCTGGAGCGTCCATCGATGGCCAACTATAGCTCCTGAGCAACCCTCCCTTTTCTAGAAAAGGTTTCCACTTAGCCTAAGAGGAAGCCTGGTGTTGTTTGCTCCTCATTTCAAAGACATCGTGAAGTCATGTCTTGACTTTTGAATGAATTGGATTTAAGAGAGGCGTTGGCACACAAAGTCATCAGCTCCATCCTCTTCTCAAGTCATCCAAGTCTAGGGTCAAGACAAAATTCTAGCTATGGCCCAGGATGCAGTGGGTGACCTTGGACTTTCTAAATTAGGGTCTTTCCCAGGCCTCAGTTTGTCTGTGGCAATGGCCATTCAGTGACTAAGGGCTAGGTAAGAATTGAGACCAAAAAAACAATCGAGACAAAATATATTAATCTGAGAGGCGAAGACCCTCAGAATTTCTGGCCTGAGCAGAAATTTTTTGGTAAGGCAATCAGGGTTAAGTGACTTGCCCAGGATCACAAAGCTAGTCAGTGTCAAATATCTGAGGCCAGATTTGAACTCAAGGTCCTCCTGACTCCAAGGTCAGAGTTCTATCTGCTGTGCCACCTAGCTGTGTCACAATTAGTCTTTACGTTCATTCTAAGCCATCAAAATCTAAAAAGTAAGCCCCAAGTTAAGAATCCTTGGACTAAGTAGGCATCTGAGGTTGAATTCTTTTTTTTGTTTTTAATTGCATTAGCAATTAAACTGCCCTGCCCTAATCTTGCCCTCTTCTCAAACAAAGCACAGCTAAGCAAAGCCTTCTTTGACTTACCAGGACATTGGTGTTTTCTTCATCAATTAACAATTAAATTATGGATTTAATTAATTAATTAATTGATTGATGTAGACCGGACCTAGAGTCAGGAGAGACATGGGTTTGAATCCCACCACTGATACTTAGCTGTATGATTCTGGGCAAGCCAATTAATAGTTTCCTTACCTATAAGTATGAGGATACTTGTAGATATACTAAGGCAAGGTGACTGGGACTTTTGGCTAGGGCCCCCCAAATCTTGAGGGCTCAGATATATTTTGTCCAGTCCAAAAAATGTGCTTCACGACCCTTCAAGTATAGTGTAAATATCAGTTGTTTGTTTGTTTGTTTGTTTGTTTTTTAAGCAGGAAGCAAGTATTGAGGGCAGAGGCCTCCAGCCTGGCTCTGGTTTCCCTTGCACGGTACAAGTGACCCTCCTAGGCCGACACCACCACTCCCCAACTCATGCACAGGGGAACACACACACACACACACACAACTTCCATTTCCTCCCCACACCACCATTGCCACCTCTAGGGAAAGTAAAAGGCCCACTTACTGGGAGACGTAAGGCTCTGGATAATTTGTCTTGTGGGGAAAGATGGAAAGAATGAGCCAAGTGCACCTCATTCCAGAAGGCTAGATGTGCTTTCTGACTTCCAAAACAAAGATATGAAAGCAAGTATTTGGGAAAAAGAAAAAAAAAAGGTTGTTTCTATAAAGCCCTATAAAGCTGAACTAAGAGAATGATTTATACAATGATGATGTTATAGAGAAAAGCAACTTTGAAAGACTTTGGAACACTAATCAATGCAGTGATAAACCAGAAATCCAAAATAATAAGGATGAAACTCACCACTGCCCTCCTGATAGAGAAGTGATGAATGTGGGATGCAGAAGATGCACATCTTTGGATGTGGCCAATGTAGGGAATTTGTTTTGCTGGACTATGGAGATATTTATAGGAGATTTGTTTTGTTTTTTAACTTGCTTATTGGAATGGAGGAAGAGAAGAAGTGGACTCAAGATGCAGAATGAGGCATATATATTTGGCCAATGCAAAGATTTATTTTGGTTAAGTTTGCATATTTGTTGCAAGGATTTCATTTTTTGTTTGGTTTTTTATTCTGTTGTTGCTGCTTTAATGGGGAAGGAGGAGAATGAGAAAGCAAATAGATGTCTGTTAATTTAAAATAACAGAAAAAAAACAAGAAGAATGAGTATGTGTTGGGAAAACCTTAGGAAAATTAGGGCTTCTGGTATTATTGGACAAATAGTCACCATGGTATAACTGTTAGGTTGTGCTTGAATATCAAGACCCCAGATGTGGGATCAAAGTGTTGAATGCAAACCTCTGTTCAACTACTTCCTATCTGTGTGACTTTGGGCAAGTTACTGATCTCTGTGGGGGTGATAGACTCACAGACCCTAGATTTGGAGCTGGAAGGTACCTCAGGGGCCATCTAGTCCAAACCTCAATTTACAGATGAGGAAACCAAGAAAATGGGGAGTTCCTGTGAGTTGCCCAAGGGCCCAGAGGTTGAATTCATCAGGACCAGGTCTTCCAATTCCAGAACCAAGCCACTTCATACAGTACCATGCTGTTCTGGAAGATCCTCTCCATGATTCCTATAGCATTGAAATAGTATTAAGCCACCTCTTGAAAGAATCATTTGGATCTAATTGAGAAGCTTTATAGAGTAGTAGAAAGAGTGCGAGATAGGGAGTCCATAAGATCTGCATTGCTATCTGTAAGGTGAATTTTAGTGTGTGTAAAGTGGCTTTTTTGTTATTCTTTCTTAGACATTTCTTCCCTAGATTCATAGCCATAACAATCTCTACTTCCCAGGTGTTATGAATTCTCACTATCATGATTCAAAACAGTTTCTACCACGTTTGCACAGTAGATATAGAGGTGAAGTGATGTAAAATGTCGAGGCTAATGCTGGCAGCATGCTTTCTTTGTTGCCCTATAAATCAAGTGGGCACTGATCAGTGACTGGGGACCCCCATAAGGGTGAATGTGCAGGCTGAATGTTGTGCGTGCCTAGATCAGCCCCCATCAAGGCTTGGGAGGGGGAATCTGTGTGTTTGCCTCAACTGGTCCCCATTGAAGCTTGAGAGGATTTATGGGAGTGTGCAAGTTGTGCCGGTCTCGATTGACCCCATCGAGACAAGGAGTGGTTGCTCCCCCCTTCACGCCAGCCCTGCAAGAAGGGTTGTTAGGGAATGCTTTAGGAATTGGAGCTTCCATGATCAGCAAACTGCCTTTCAGAAGGTTAGACTAGAATAAAGTAAGCTTATTTAACCCATTATTATGACTCCATTCCTGTCTTCCTGTCTGACAGGATCAAAAGTGAACCTGCTAGTGAGAGAGGTACTAGAAGTCCTCCTGTGTCTCCTTCCTAAGAAATGGTGTAGTTGACATGTTTACTTGTTCAACATTATCCATCCCACCTCTGACACCAGGTGAGTGACTTTGGACATGTCAGGGGCAACCTCTCTGACCCTCAATATCTACATAAGTAAATGGAGTATTAGTGTATCTGATGCAGTTTAGGGCTCCCAGGGTCCTGGGACCCCAATATCACAACACGTGGTTATTGCCTGAAAGAATTTGACCCAGCCAAAGATAAGGTTTATTAGAACATCCATCTTATTGGGCAGACTCTTAAGGAATCTGAACATTCAATCACAAAACCTCCCAAATCTGCCAAGATATTTTTAGCCGTTCTAACTTTCCTCTTTAACCTCCATGGGAGTGAATGGAATGCTGAAGTAGTGAAGCCCCCTCAGTGTAGACCTCGCCCTATATTTCTCAGAAGCTGCCTCACTGAGAAAGCAGTGTCATGAGTAGATCAGGTGTCAGAGCCACATCCTGTTCTTCTGGATTCTATGCCTCCTCAGGTCCCCTCCCTAGCTGTTGAAGCAAACCATTCCTTGTTTTGAGCCCTTTTGGTCCTTGGTGCTGGGGGAGAAGTTTCTGCACTTAGACTGTGAGCTCCAAAGTCCAGCCAATGGGAAGAAGAGCCAGTGAGTGGGCGGGCGTTCCGAGTTAGGGTCTATATAAACTTGCTCTGAGGTATACACACGCACACACTCCCTTGCTGGCGCCATCTTAAGTGACACAGTGTGTGTCTTTTCTCATGAGAAAGCAATAAAACTCCTTTTTGCCTTTCTTAAGAAAAGTCTCTAACTGATTATTACAAGAGGGTTCATAAACACCCCACACAGGAGAATTCAGGGGTGTAGAGGGAAGGGAGTAAGTAAGCCTCAGGGAACCAAAAAGCAACTGCCATTTTCCCCAATTCCCTAGCACCAAGAGAACTGACAGAATTGGGCATACACTTCCAGATAGGGCATCCATCCATCCTTGTCCTCTATGCTGCACAAGGTATACCCAGGTCCATGGCCTCAAACTGACCCAGTGGACCGAGAGCCTGAGCGTCAGGCTGAGTGCAAGACAGCCTCGTAACTGTCTGCCCAGAAAGCACCAAGGCTTGGTGCTTGGAGAGCGACCCCAACTGCAGAGCAAGAAGGGGGGAGGGAGGCTTATATACCTTCCAGTCTTGGCTGGAGAAGAACTTGGGGTTAGGTAGTTTCCCCATACAGGCCACCAAAATGATGTGGTTGAGGGGTTCAGGGGTCCTGGGACCCCAAAATCATAACATGCGGTCCTGTCTAAAAGAATTCAACCCAAGCCTTCTTTCAGCCAAAGACGAGGTTTATTAGAACATTCATCATATTGGGCAGACTCTGAAGGAGTAAGCTATTGGCTAGATTATAAGAATCTAAGCAGTGGCTAGATTATAAGAATCCTAGCATCTTAATGTAGACTTTATATACAGAAAGCCTGTGGGAGGGATCTAGAAGTGGCCAAGTAGTCTATCAGGTAACAGAATTCCAGGGAAATGCAGCCTAGATAGGACCAAGGGTGGGAAGTGGCCTGGGGCCATAGAGAGGCAAGACCTGGAGGGGAGATTGGGTGTAGCCACAATGAAAGGCCAGTTGATAGGATTATAGCCTCAGGTGAACACCAGAGATTTGGCCAGGTGAGAAAGTCCAGGGTGTTTCCTTTCTGGGGCCCAGATCCCAACCCCATCATATCCTGTACCTATCTTTTGGGGTAGTTGTAAGAATGGAAAGAGGTTATGTCTGTAAAGTATTTCACAAACCTTTACATGTTATTAAAGTGCAGCTATTTTTATCAGGAACTGTTAAGTGATGTTTTGGTGATGAGATCTAAGCAGGTTCAGAGAACTGAAAAATTTGAAAGTTGGAAGGGATCTCATCTCATTGAGTCCAGCCCATACTTGAAAAGGAAACCTAAAAGCCTACAGAAGATCAAGACCTCTTTCTTTTCCCTTGGGTGTCTACCTATCCCTTCAACTATATAGTCCTCACAACTCAATGGATAACTGTACATAGTGCCCTTAGTAAGGAAAAATAATTTAGGGTTCACCAAAGAGTCAAGCAACCCTCCTTCCCTTCCCATCAAGCCCTTGACTCCTCTGAAGAACTTGTAGAGTCCTTTTGACTTACAGTACTGACCTGGGTGGTACTCCCAGGAAGAAGAAATAACTCAAGATTTATTAAAGAGCCAAGCGACCCTTTCTTTCGGATGGGCCAGCTATTTCCCTCCCCAAAATCTGAGCAGTCCCCATGACTTTGGATACTATGCTGGATAGGCCTACCCACACAAGGAAAACAGACTTGGAGTTCCTTCCTCTCCACTAAGGCTGTTCTTCCCTGAACCTTGATAAATTCCTCTGCTTGCTCCCCCCTGTTAGTCCCTCCTTCATTAACCTCTCCTCCACTTTGGCTCCTTGTCTCAGGGCTTTGCCAGGCCTTCTCTCTCGTCAGTGATCCAACACGCTACTACTAGTTTTGCCAGTTTCTTCTCTGCTCCAACTCCCAGAGGTGTGACCCTTTGCCAATTCCCAACAACTTCACCCAGCTGCCACTTCCTGAAACCATCCCTGGTAAGTGCTTCAGTTCTCACCACTGCAGACTGCTGATCATGGCTCCACCTTCAAGGTACACAACCCTAGGGTCTTTCCCATGGCTTTTGAGGTCTTCCTCACTTAAGCATAGCAAATTGAGTTCCCCTCCCATTGTCCCAGGAAATGGCCCTAGTTCTTGAGAATTACAACCCTTTCAGAATGAATGCCAGAATGCCTCAAGGTATGAAGTTTCCCAACAGTCTCCCTCCCAGGGTGTTGATGTTCTTTTTTACCTTCTTAATAAGGTCACACAGCCCTATTCTCCACATACAAGGCTTCCCCAGGACCCCAAAGCCTTGGTTTCTCACTCTTGGTTGAGTTACTGTTGTGGTTTAAGGGTACTAGGAACCCTGAAATGCAAGGGTACAGAGTATGAGTCTGCTTCAAGAGCATTCAACCCCTCAAGCCTTCTTTCAGTCCCAGTGTCAAGTTTATTGTAACACCAATACAAGTGGGCCAGATTTTAAGAATCTGAGTCATTTAATGGGGAAAAGATTGATATTTTATACAGAAAGACTGTGAGAAGATCTAGACGGGATTAGGAGTGGCATGTAGCTTGGGGTGGGGCCAGGTGCAGACGCCCTGCAGTGAAAGGATAGTTAATAGTATTAATTGACTGGGATGGGCCAGGTGCCTCAGGTGAACACCAGGGATCTGGGTTCAGGGCTAGGTTCCTGAAATTTGAAAGTTCAGGGACTTTTCCTTTTAGGAGTCCAGGGCAAATATCCCCCAACATTACCACCAAATGATCCCATTTGGTTCTTTCTTTTCCAGGCACCTGAGCAGTTATGCTTCATACCAAGTCAGAACCTCTGTCTAAAACTTTGGGAGCTTCTAAAGGTACTAGAAAGTGAGAACCTTTTAATGGCTTCTAAGAATCAATGAATATGGAGAATAAAGAGAAATATGGAAAAATTTATATGAATTGATGCAAATCAAAGTGAGCAGAACCAGGAAAATAATACACACAATGACTACAATGATATAAATGGAAGGAATAATAAAAATCAAAACTAAATGCTGGGTAATGATAATGACCAAGTGTGGCCCCAAAGAAAAGGTATAAGCATATATATATATATATATATATATATATATATATATATATATATATATACATACACACACACATATACATATATATACACACACATACATATATACATATACACACATATATATTTGGCAGAGGTGGTATGGGTGCTGAAAATTACTTAGGACATTGGATTTGTTTAAAGTATTAATTACCTTTGCTTAACTATCTTTTCTTTTTCTTTTCAATCATCAACCAATCAACAACTATTTATTAAGCATGTACTATACTACCTAGCACCATGCTAAGCAACAACTCCAGAGGGGGGGAAAGGGAGAGAGAAAAGGAACGAGATGGAAAAACCAAAGACATCTCATCACTTTTCCACTGACTTTTCCATACTCTTTAATAGCTACTCTCAAAATGTCCAAATGGAGCTGGAATGTCACAGAATTTCTTCCAACAATGCAAATGCCAGTCTATCCTATGTAACTCTGATCCATGGCCACCAGAGGGGTCCACTCCGGCTACTGCCTTCCCCTCTAAGGCTGTATTTCCACATAGCCACCACAGGCAGCTAAGTGGCACAGTCCATAGAGCACTGGGCTAAAGTCAGGAAGTTCTGGGTTCAAACGTGGCCTCAGATATGGGTTGACTTCGTGACTAGGCAAAACACATTTCCTCATACGTAAAACAGAGATAATGATACTGATGAGGGTGGGGCCCAAGCCAAGATCTTCCGCCCTTTGCCCCAAAGGGAATCTGACTCACAGGCCCCAGACCCTCATCTCCCTTGAAAGCCCTAGCTTACCTTTAGATCTTATTCAGATGCACCTTCAACCCTAGCCCTGAATAGAATCTGGCTCCCTCTTGTCTATAGGCCCAAGAAAGGCCTTCCTTTGTCTCCTTTGGAAAGTCCTAGCCCCACCTTGATTTTGTGCAGATGCCTTTCAAACTTCTGCCTTCCTGTTCTTCCATTATCTATTCCCATTGTCTATTCAATCTCACCAACCTCCCCAATTAGAATTGTTACCTACACCCTTTACCCAACCCCCTTCTCTGGCCACCCAAAGTTACTTTAGTATTTAAGATCCACCTTGGCCCTCATTCAGATGCTGAGAATCTCACGCTCAAAAGGCTGAGAACCTCTCATGCCCGCTCATCCTTACGGGCGTCACCCGGCCTATATGTTTTACCACCAATAAACTTTTCCTCTGGCTGAAGAAGATTTGAGTTGAATTCTTTCAGGCAGGGCCCGGTACCGCGATCTTGGCGTCCCAGCACCCCAAAACCCCTAGACCTCTTCAATACCATCTCACTCAAAGGGTTGTTGTGAATAACATTTGTAAAGTGCTTAGCACATAGTAGGTACTTAATAAATGTTTATTTCTATCTCCGTGTATCTTACAGATGCGTAGTAATGCACATGTTCCCTCTCCCATGAGGATGGGACAGGGGTGGGACATGTGGCCTTCTGGGTCTTTTGGCTGGGTTTCACAGAACAAATCCTTTTATTAAGGGGACCCCTCCCCTGCTCGCTCCTCTGGGGAAGCTCCTTGAGGACAGGGACTGTATTTGCCTTTCCTTGCAACTCCAGAGCTCAGTGCAATGCAGGCATATAGTAAGTCCCCGTATTTACTTTCTGTCCCTTGAATTGCCTTTTCAGGCATTTTGTGCATATTCATATGTGTTTGAGTTGTGTTCGTGGGTAGGCTATAAGCTCCTTGAAGGTAGGGATGGTTTCGTTTCTATCTTTGTCTCCCCGCCCAGTGACCAGTGCCTAACCTAGGGCCTGGCAAACAGGAGGGAATTAACAAATGCCAGCTGATCGCCGATTGCTTGAGCAATCCTCGACACACACCGCCAACTCTGTTTCTTAAGTGCCAGCAGAACGTACCATTAAGACTTTGTCAGTTTGTTTCAGTTTCTCTCACCTCTGCTGTCCCTAGGGATGGACACACTGGCAGACCAAATAAATGATCCTAATCACTACATCCATAACATTCTGGTGCCTTCCTTCTCTTACTTCCATCTTATTTCTCCCACAGATAACTCATTTGTACTTAGCTTTTGTTGTTGTTGTTGTTGTCTTCCCCATTAAACTGTGAGCTCCTTGAGGGCAGGGAATTTATTTTCCTTCATTCTGTATCCTCAGATCTTAGTATACTGTCTGGCACATAGTAGGTGCTTAATCAATGTTTATTGACTGACTGATTGACAGTTCCCTTTCACCCCTTCTGACCACCCTAGGTGATTCAGGGTTCTGCCCACAGAATGGGGTTATAGGATCACAAATTTGGTGCTGGCAGATACTTCAGAGACCAACTTGTCCAACCCCTCATTTTAAAGAGGAAGAAACTGATGTCCAGGTCCACTAGCTGTAGGTTATAATTCCGTGACCTTGAATGTTGGTTATATACTCATGTGTCTTCTTCTAGGACACGGACTTAATAGATCATGTTTGACCCCTGTTCCCAGATCATTTATTTTCCTCTTCATTTTGGAAAAGTTCTAAGGATACTTGATCCCCCAAACCTGTAATATCCCAGTGAACATGCAGACTGGTTCCACAGATGACATTCTGTCCCAGTCAGTTAACTATGATGGGTCCTTTGCAAGAAGCACACTCCTGTCTCCTATCGCTGCCAAGACAGTGAGTGGCTCCTAAGGTGCTCCGAGGAACAAGACTCGATGCACAAAGAAGGCAGATGCAGAATATACCCCCCCCACCCCACCCCAGAGTCTAGGCTGACGCGTCTGCCTAGAGCATGTTGGCAACAAGCCATGGACTGGATGGTGGTTAGAAAGGCTGGCACCTAGGAGTTTTTGCATACATATCTCATGCCTTCCTAAGGGGTCAGCCCAAATAGGGACATCTATTTGGGTCCCTGGTGGACCCATTGGGAGGTGAATGGAGTATCACCCATTGTGGTAAAAATCAGAGGGATATTCACTGAAGAAAGCCCCTGTCTGAGACTATCTATCCATCCTGACTCTGGACCACAGAAGCTGGTTAGCCTTTGTTGTGTCATGGACCCCTCTGGCAGCCTGGAGAAGCCTACAGAGCCTTTCCCAGAATAACACTTTTACATGTATAAAACACAATGAAATAAAATAAAATGTATGGGATTACAAAGGAAGTCAATTCTATGAAAACGCAATTATGAAAGGCACATCCACACACCCAACGGCAGAACGTCTTGATCGAGGCTTGAGCTGCGATTGGGACATTTCCCTCGCTCGTTGCTTTCTCCTCCACACATCGAGTACAGGTATCTAGGAACACTTGGCGAGAAGATCCATTTTCCCATCACTTTCCCCAGTTGTTACTGTGGGGTTGTAGTGCACATAGTTCCCAGATGGTGGAGCTCTTGGTCTCTGAGCAGCCACACACTACTTAAATAGCTTTAAATGAATTAATGTCCATATTTCAATCAAATAGCCTCAATTCACCTGCTTCCTTTGAGAAGTACAAAAGGTTCAAGAATGTGGTTGGTGCCAGCATGGTGGAAAGGGTTTTAGAATCAGAAGATCTGGGTTCAAATGCCAGCTCTAATATTGATTATCTTGGAACCTCAGTTCCCTTTTTTTCCTCATCTGTAAAATGAGAGGATTGGATTAAATCTGTAATCCTAAAATCAGGAATCCACTGGTGATTAAGAAATCCTTGGGTATTCCTTCTTCATTAACTCAGCCCTGGATCTAGCATTAGTCCTTGAGGAGCCTGAGAACATCAGAATACTAAAAGGTAAGGCCAGATGACTCCAGACCTAGGGAGAACAGTAACTCTGGACCTGAACAAAAACAGAAAAGGGCTTGGATGTACTCCCCTTAATACAGGCTGTACACTTAGCAAAACTGTGGATCCCACTTTATGAAACCAGACAAAAATAACAATTATAATAATACAGTTCATTTGAAGGAGCAAAACAGAACTTCAAGGAACAAGCTAGAAACCGCAAAGTAGTCAGTGTTTGCTCAGATACCAAAAAGGGTGATGTAAAAATAAATTTCCCTTTCTCAAGAGAAATAATAAAAAAAAAATTAGGTACTAGGGAATAGTACCTCCAGGCCTCGAATTATATATATGTTGCAATATCAAAACTGGTATTTGTTTTAAAAAATTAAGGTAATCAATGAAAAGATCTAAACAAACAAGAATTAGAAATTATTGAACTAAGAAAACAAGTGTTGGGTAACCCTGATAGGCATACATTGCTTGGGGTATGGCCCTCCTTTCAAGAGTAACTACGGAGAAAACTGGAAAGTAGTTTGGCAAAAATCAAGTTTAGACCAGCACTTTATACCATATGCCATAACAAATTTAAAATGAATGTGCAATATAAAAATAAAGGTGATATTATAAAAATATTAGAAGAGAATGAGCTCAGTTAGCCTTCAAAACTATGATTAGAGGGAGAAATTCTAGTCAAACAAGGGATAAAGGAGATCACAAAAGATAAAATAGATCATTTTGAACATATGAAATTGAAAAGGTTATAGATAAGTAAAAATCAATGTAGCTAAGATAAAAAGGAAAAAACTACTGAGGGATATTTTTATATTAAATATCTATGATAAGAGTCTGATACTAAATAAGACACAAAAGTATAAAATTTATAAGGAAAAAAAAGCCATTCCCCAATGGATAACTGGTCAAAAAGGATATGAATAATCAGTTGTCATAAGAACTGCAGACTATTAAGAACCCTGTGACTAATTATTCCAAATCACTAATAAGAAAAAGTAATGCAAATCAAAACAACTTTTCTAGCAGTACTTTTTTGGGGCAGAAAAGAACTAGGAATAAAGTAGATGCGCATTGTTTGGGGAATTCTAAACAAACTGTGGTGCCTGAATGAAATAGACTCACTACTTTGTTAAAACAATTGAAGGAACAACTCAGAGAAACATGGCCTAA